AGAAAATAAGGAATACTACATATTTTGCTAAGCTTAATCTATCAAAAATTCACCAATTTTCTAAGTTTATTTAAATTGTATCAATGTAACATATAACTGTAATACGAAAGCTATGTGTAATAAACCAATTTGAATTTCATCTCTTTCTGTAATATATGCACATACTTCCTTCTACAATGCATTCACATATTTTTGTAATGCATGCTCTAATAAAGCATGCATGGCAAAAACAAAAAATAAACACAAAAAATGCTTTATTTCCTATATCATGCTCATTCCCTTAAATCATTTGACATTTATTTTAATTATATTTACGAGTATGTTTGGATACGATTTGTTATTCATTCATAAAAGACCTTCAAAAAGTCATTTGTCTGAGTTAATTTAATATACTCAATCAATAAACGATATATGTATATACATGTATATTAAAGCTATTAATTAATGCTGTCTATTAATGTCAGTGCTTGAGAAACATTCGTTTTATACGAACAAAGTCTGTTATAGGCACGATGTTAATTGATATTCAAAAGAAGAATAAAAGCAAACAAAACTTAAAGAATAAGAAAAATTGTTTTCGAATTCTTTTGATAATATTCTGGCTATATAAACAACTATTCATTCGTTTTCGAAAAATTTTTGATAGAATTGCGAAATTTATCATAAAAATCATTTATTGTATAATGACATTTAAAATGTCAAATCGTATTGAGATTCTAAAGTTTAATTAAGGTTCTATAACTCGGAGACGCAATAGTTAATTGTTATTTTGGCTTGGCCAATTTTACTAATCATAAATAATTTGAAAAATTCTATTAAAAATAAAATTTTTTTCCTGATAAAAAAATTTTTGTAATGCCTGCCTTTTCCTACTCATGTCTTTATACATAACAATAAACTACTCATATCGATATAAACGTAACAAATACAGGATGACTAATTACGAATGTTGCAATTAATAGAAACTGTGTATAGATTTCTAACCTATAATAGTATCCACTTCACAAATTTTTAATGAGACATTTGCTGAAAAATTTTTAATGGACATTTGCGGCCTTTATGGTTACACATAATAAATTCATTGGAGAACCAAATCTCACCTTTTTTAAGCTAATAGAATAATAAAGAAATAATTCTAAAACTATGCAAAAGGTAATATTTAGATACTAATTGACATTCACAAAGATGTCAATTAATACTCACTACTCATTACAAAAACTGTACATTTTCTACTTAATAGCAGAAGTTTATCCGTTTTTCGCATACATGAGTCGTTTATTTCGTCTCCAATCGTTTATTTCAGTAATGTCAACTAGAGTCTATTTCCATCTACTTCGACTTGGATCGGAACCTAAAATGAGACAAAGTTTTATTTCCGCTGTTTTCCTTAAAATCTAATTTGAATTAAAATATAAATTATTCAACTAAAATGCAACATATTTCAGTCCCATTTTGGCTGAATGACATTTTAATGACGTTTCGACTTTTAAACTATGAAGTAAAAACTGTAAATTGGGGTAAAATATTATTTTACAAATAATTTGATTAAAATATTAAAATCATATTTATCTTTTTGTTCTTTATATTGCATTAGGGTAAGCCATCGTGGAAGAATACCGCTGCATGTCAAAAATTTATTGTCCGAGATTTTTTGCTTAAAACTAGGAACTTTAAAATTACCACTAATTCAATTTAAGGAGCCCAAAATAAAGGAGATGAAAGCTCAATTGCCATGTTGTGATAATTATCTTATTTCTGATATAGGTACTCTTCCGAAACTTAGTACTTAGTATTATTCTATAAGTAAGATATTAAGTGTAATACTTATGGTTGAAACATATTATGTTTGCATGCTGTTTATGTTACGAAATTTTATAATAAATTATTTTAAATATTTCTCATGGTTATCTTTATTGATGACAATGTTTTCATTTAGTAGTTCGACATTAAATGAATTTATGATTATTTTGATCCGAGCTTATTCAATTTATTTGTTAATTGAAAATTAATTAATTCTTATTTATTGATGATTTCGGATCAATAATTACATTATATAAAAGATCTACTTTCAATGCCAATTATAAATCATCAAAGTACCCAAAATATAAGTACATTGTTTACCAAATTGATTATAGGGGGGGCACACCATATGGTAAAATAACTTTGGTTGGAAAAAAATTTAATTTTTAAGTTAAAATTATGTAGAACAATAATTAGAAAGCGTTTAAATGGCCTTTGAACTCTTATAATTTTAATAAAATGTTGAAGTTAAAGTAAACCTCATATCATACAAACAGAATACATACAAAAATACATGAAATTATTGTACAAAGTTTAAAATTTATAAGAAAAGGAAGTGTTAATTAAAAAATTTACGATGAATTCTTCATGGTTTACTTTTGGAGTTTTGTTTTGTTTTCCTTTAGTGTTTTTGAATATTGTTTTTATAACTTTGCAATTCATCTAAAATTCTAAAAGAATATTAATCTATTAATTAATATTAATTTATATTATGTTTTTATTTAATTTTGATTTTTGTTCTCAGAGGAAGTGGAATATGCTATAGACATTTATGTGTTGTTATATGATCATAAACAAAATTTTACTTTTCCAAGTAATGCGTGAAATTTAATTTGCAGAAAATTTTGAAGTTCTATAAATTGCATTATGCAAAGTAGATCATTCGGAAATTGATATTGGCATAAACCATGTAGTTAAAGTATATGGTTTATGAAATTGGTAAAATTTGAAAAAATTCAATAGCTGAACAAATTTTGAATGAAAAACGTAATACTTTTTTTAAATATAATACTCCATACTCCATTTCATCAAAGATTTTAACACATCAGAATAATTCAAATAAAATACATTTACATTTATTTTGTTGATTGGCTGACCGTGCTCAAAGATCCATCAGATTTTCATTAATTGATACTTACAAATAAGTTTCACCAATATGAACCTAGAAAAAATCAATTTTCGTTAAGTAGCATTGCTACTTGAACTTCCTTTGAACCATGAACCCACTTAAGTCTCCTTTTATTACGGTCTAGATGAATGGATTTCCAATAATTAATATTGATTCAACTCATTAATTTTTTGATTTGCGTATTCGTTTGATTGGTGTGATTTTCAAAATATTCGCTTTGAAATTTTTAAATTTTAAAATACTTTATTCAACTTCGAAACTGACTGTCTAATTTAAATAACAATAGTGCTAACGATCAACTACTGAAAAACAATTTTTCAAAGTTCAATCATTTTTTTCTCAATCATTCTTATATACATACCTAATTAAATATTATTAATGGCGCCCATGAGTGCACAAGGTTAAAATTATTGTTTGAAATTATGATTCACTTTTTTTTGCATAAAATGACGATCTACAATCCTGGTTAGAACTATTTAATCGATTTTAAAGAAAAATTTATTATTCTCAACAGTTACATATAACATTGTTAAAACTACAATCAAACCATTAGATCATAAAGCACAGGTACACATAATTTATCTGCTAAATAGAATCATGATAAAAAAATTTATTCAAAAATGTTGATAGTATTTTAATTATTCAAAATGAATGATGTTTTACAATCTTTGGTTTTTTTTAAAAATATTATAGAATTTTTTAAAAGAAACTACCGATGTCGGGACTGAAAAATATTCCATGACACCAATATTAACATACAAGGTGCATGACTAATTGCATGACAAGATTATCAAGAAATAATATACATAATTTCTTATAGATAAATTTAAGTTTCACACTTAGTACATTATTCTCAACAAATTGTGGTAAATCTAGCCATCTCAGTAGCTCAGAAATCATCATTATTCATTAGTGTGCTCGTCTTTTGGCTGTTATGAGTGTAAATACTATGAAATGACACCACTTATATTCGATAACACTGCTGATAAGAATTTATTTAATTATAATGCAATATAGAAGCATCACCTTATTTAGTGGAAAACTTTTATAGTGACGGTTAAAATATTGTAATAACAATTAAATTGTTAATGTAACAAGAAACAAATATGCGTAATAAATAATATTAATACTTTGATTTTATTATAAACCCAATTAAAATAACCAATTAAAGTTTGCGAATATTATTAATTAATCTTTTATAGCAATTTTCTAAGAATATTATTGAACAAACTTTAATCAAATTAACTGCATCCATTTTCACTTATAATTACATTGATTTGCCTATAAATACACGTTACACAATAATTGTACAAATTTGTAATATTTTAGGGATCATTTAGATTATTATTATCAATTTTTAGTTTGTATAACAATCGATTATATCTCTATTCCCTCTATCTCTTTCTTTTAAAACAAAAAGGAGTACAGTATATACGCAGCTATAAAACGCTTTCAATTATAAACACAAACAATCTTAACACAATAATTAACTTTCCAATAACACATCAATTGAAATAATACCAAAGAAAAGCAGAGAAACAACAGTAGCCATACTAATTTAAAAAATACACACAGACGAGGATTACGCATACATACAATAATAAGTTTCTATACAAAATATAGCGAATTATTAATTCCGTTGTATACGACGATTACAAATTCATTGTTTTCTTTGTTAATACTGCACATGACGTACTATTAATTCTCTACTCTCGTATTTGTAATACATCCAATTTGACGCTCAGTATACTTTATTTTCTAAAGTTCATGAAGTCAATTGTTAATTCAAGCTTGATATCATTTAATTTAAATTAAATTTGTTCTATCAACAATGATGTTCTCTTTTCCAATCCACGTCTTCTTATTTTATTTTTAATGAAAGCTTCTCATAATGCAAATATATTAATAATAACACGAATATAAAAAGAAAGTCTTGTTTTAAAATTAAAGCAGGAAAACTGTTTTTGTTGCATTCTAATTACCTTATGTAATTAGTTTAAAAATTAGTATAACACAAAATAAAATGATTATACATATAAAAAAAAAATTAATTTTTAAATTTTTATTACAGGTGGCATAGCCCCTGGTACACCATCTGCGGCCATGATCATGGATGGGATTGAAACACTTGTGGCGCCATCACATCACCACACATATTTATTAACAGAGAGCGCAGCTCCAGCCCATCATCCACATTTTAATGTTTTAAGTTTTGATTCATGCATTTTAAAATCAGTTGTACAACAGCAACAACAACAGCAGCAGCAACAACAACAACAACAACAGCAGCAACATCAACAAACTAGTCAGCAAACACAAACATCGATTCCCCATCATTTATATTCGTCATCACCTTCATCATCGTTAGCAGCAGTAGCAGCAGCAGTACAGGGATCAGTAGCGGCAGCATCAACCACATCACATCATCAACAGTTACCACAACAATTACCATCACCATCTACTGGTAGTAGTATAACAGCTACAGTATCTGGTTTAAGTGTAAATATTCCAAGTAGTGGAGCTTTAACGAGTCAATCAGTCGCCGCTTCACTATTTCATCAGAGTTTATCAACAAATAATAATAATAGTAATACACAAAATAATAATAATAATAATAGTAGTAATAATAATAGTGCAATAATTTCAACACCTTCAAATAGCGGTGGTAATACAATAGAAACAAGTACATCAGGTCCAACTGTAACTTGTACCAATAATAATAGTGATAGTGGAAGAAATCCATCAAGTCATTTAAGTTTACTTAATACGAGCGTATCGAGTGGAAGTGGTAGTATAGGTGGTAGTGGTATTAGCAATAGTGGTAATAATACTAGTGGAAATAATAACAGCACAGTTAATAAAGATATTGAAACACAACAGGGTGATTTGAACACACCAGTAACAACATCGAGTGATATTCCATCATTTTTCGGTCCTTCAGGTGTTGTTGAACAAGCAACCATTACAGGTAACTTATATTTTTCATAATATTCGTATTATATACATGTTTTTAGAAAAACGATTTAACGAATACGAATAGAATCGAGCATATGGCATATACTATCATTATGACGATATGAACTAATTTCGAATTCTATTCTGTTTGAATAAAACAGCAACAGAATATTGTTTTGTACAGTTAGCTGTACAAAACATTCATATTTTCTTAACCAACTTATTGTATACGTTCTCTCTCTCTCTGTCCGTCCGTTTGTCTGTTTACAAAATTTCTACATTATTCAATATACAGAAAGATAAAATATTGTTCAGAAATAGATCTGAATTAAAACATTATATTTCTAGAACAAAATTATTTTTTGCGTACCCCTTAAAGCCAAATTTTTTTGTTATCACAAACAAGTAAAAAAGAATATTAGACTGCTGAAGTATACTACAACAAACCGGGTTTTTCACTAATTTTCTTCAATACGGCAAATCGAATTCATTAAAACAAAGTTTCTTTATAATTCGCCCTCCTTCTCAAGAAAATTGATATTTTCCCCTTCAAAGTATGTAAAATTACAAGTTCTACAAACTTCTACAAATGGAAAAGGGTAGTACTAAATATAAATAATGAGTACACTCTTAGTCTAAACTAGTCATCTATGCTTTTACTAAATTAATTAGTAGTAAAATTGAATGTTTCCAGGGTAAATATTGCTTTAAGATTTCTCCTAAACTTAGGCAAAATTTTATGTTAATAAGAGAACAATTTCAATGACTTAATTTGCTAAAGAAAAGCATGCTATTTTAGAAACTAAGGGATTAACGACTGCATTTTTCTTTAAAAACTTCAAATATTCGATAATATCTTAATGATTTTCATGTATTACATTTTCATGTATTTCTAAATATTCTGTACCTATTACCTTAAAAAATACAATGTATTCATTTTGACTATTGGATCTATTATGCGATATTATCACATCTATCGAATTTTTGCAGTACTTGATTTCCTTTTAATGTTCTCTCACATATTAAATTAAAAAATAAATTGCATTAAACTTTAATGTTATTTAAATCAGATTTATTTTACCAAAGAATGATTTCATCGAAAAATATTTTTTATTTTAATTCGTGTTCATGCACATAAATTAATTTGAATTAATTTTTCATTACAATATTAGTAATTTGTCAATTATAAATAATTTAATAAAGAACGCAAATATTCCACGATTTTATTTGATTATTTAATTACCATCAGAGTAATCAACAAATAAACTCAAATTAAACGGTATGTCAGGGCTCAAACTAAACACTATATATATACAACTTATATTTATAGCACTCTTAATTTAAGAATTACTCTCAAAAATAAATTATAGGACTAAATTTTACTGCCATATGGTTTTTCCGACTAAAATGTTAATGAATAACGTAATACCAATTTTTAATAAAATTGTTTTGAAATTTAGGACACGCATTCTTAATTAAAAATTCGAAAAAATTTGAAACAAAATTTAAAAATACCTCTGGAATTTTCAAATCAAAAAATAAAATATCCCTTTTAAGGTCTGTAAATAATTTTAACATTTCCAAATCCTACCATTTCAAAGCCTACTTTTTGACATTTTTTTACAAAGCATAACCCCTAAAAATATGCAAACCTTTTAATTTTGCGATTTCATTAATGTAACGATTTGATATTTTTCCTTCATACAGATATCGTTTATCAATTTATTCAGAGTTTAAAGTAAAACCAAAAAATATATGAATAAAGTTTACATTGCTAAATACTGTTTTTATAAGGCAAAATATTTAATTGTAGAAGAATAGTTCAGAAAAACAATTATTTTAAAATAAGCCCCTACTGCAACTTGATATTTTCATCCCTCAAAGTAGGAAGTAGGGGCTCATAAAAGATAATGCTTTTTTGAAACTTTTATTTGCTCTCTTTATATACAAAAAAGGTACAATAGTTTCGGCAATAACCTGCCATATGGAACACCATAGATATTTAGCACTTAGACTACATATTATATAGCCTTAAAATTGAGTTCTTTAAGCTATCAAAACAGTGAAACAAAATTTTTATGACTTTACAAATACATAGCGAATTTCTTAGTACTACTGATTAATATATGGAGGGTTAAACGAGTACTAATAACTTTAAAAAATTAAATTTAGTGACTGTCTAGTTCGCTGAAATTTTTCTCTTATTTTATACATATAGCGATTAATTTTCTAAATCACTTAAAATTTTTTTGTTAATAATTTACTCCTTGCTTCTCCTTAACTAAATTACTCTTTTGTTTCCCTTACCTATTAAATGTACAAATGTACGTATGCCTACATGTATGCACGTAAGTATACATACATACAATATTCAACAATTCCAAGTATTTATTTCATAAAGCTTAGTTATGTTTTTAACTTATTACGTTATTAAAAAAAAACTCTTAAACTCTAAGCCAATCAATATGAAAAAATAAAATGTCATTTTGAATATTTTCTGTACCAGTCTGTTAATCATAAATTGTCAACACCATTTTTAAAAATTTTTTATCATCATGTTATTTCTGTCTATACTTAAATTTTACATACATATTATTAACATACATTTATACTTACATATAATTAGTATACTTTAAATTAAATCAAAAAGTATTTTATTTAAAAAGTTAAATGAAATACAAAGAACAAGATATGACGGCATGCAATGTTTAGTAGTCACGCAAATTATAATAATTTGTAACTTAGTATTAAATAAAAATATAATGAAAGTAGACAAAAATATGCATGTATATACAATTGTATATCGCCATTATATTTGTGTGTGTAGATTTCTAACAAACCTGTGGTATGGAGTGTATATGGTAATCATTGTTTTACTTGAATTGTGGAATTAATTACACATACACATATACTTACATTTTAACAGGTATAAAACTTTCGTCATTCGGACGTCACAATTTTTTTTTGTGTTTTTTGCGTCATAACCTTATTTTGGATCAAACTCAAACTGTACAATGGAATTTTCTACCACTTGTTTTGTTTGCTTTAAACAATTCTCCTTAAATATTTCTGTTCTTAAAAAAATAATAAATATATATGGAGGATTGTACAGAATATGTGGCTCTAAAAATTCGAAATATTTTTTCTCATTAGTCCACCACCATTCGGTCTTATTCTTAACGCTTTTAGTCCACCATCATTCGCCATTTTTATAACTTCGTTATTTCGATATAATTTTTTTTTCTGAAATACAAAAAAGAAATTATTCTTTTCATGGTCATCTTGATGGTAACTGATGGTAACAAATGTATGAACTATCATTTTGTCATTAGATTATAAACTTCAAATTGCTTTAGCAACTTCTTCCCGCTATTTATATTGAAAATCTTAAAATTTTGAAGCTTACTTTTTTTTTTCTTTTCATTTTCTTAATTTCCCAATTTATGACCATCGAAAACTTGAACTTATTCATTTCTTTTATTATTTTTTTGAATTATAAAAGATTTTCTTCTTAAAAAAAAGGAATAAGAACAACTTTAAGGACAATGTCTATAACGAAATAAACAAATCATACAGACTTATGCATGAACTCTTTTCACAACATAAAAAATGTACAATAAATAATTAAGCATCTAGGATCTAAATATATAAAAATTTATACTTATCCCTTTTCTTACTTACATATTATATGTAAGGGTAATCCCATGTTTAAAATATTTTCACATTTATAAATACCATTATTGTACGCAAATATTTATTAAGTGCATAAGCTTACTCGTACAAATGTAACATTAACATTAAGAAACCGTCCTTATATTATATTTAAAATATATGACGTATCTATCGGCCTCGAATTTCGAATTGCAATTGCATATCTGCTTATGTATAGCAGTAGTAGCTGCAATATTCTACTTAATATTTCACTAAACTTAGGGAATAGTTTAATCCTATTATTTGATAAAAGAGCATTTGCTGTTGCAATAAGGCAATCAAATTGCCCATTTCTCCTAACTTACATCACAAGTATTATGGGCTCATATTAACTGTACTAAGAAGTTTTTTTATTTCTTCAATTTTCTTGAAGTTTTTGAATTATTATAAATTTTGTACAATAATTGTCATTGGAAACTTTTGTTTTATTTAAGTGCCAACAATTTTATGTTCCTGTTTTGTTTTTTGTTTAATGTTGAATACTTCATAGTTGTTTCTGTATAAAAAGAAAAAAGAACGCAAATCTATAAACTATAAAATTTTGTATTCGCTTTGTGGGAGCGACTCACAATTTTTGGCAATACTTTTAAATTCAAAAAAAAAAATATTGAAAATATACAAGAGTTAACAATAAAAAAATTAAAGAAAAAAAAAAGAAAATTGAAGAGAACGAAAGCAGAAATTATTTGGACAGCACGACAATTACGAGAATAAATCACTTGTCGGATAATTAGTCAAATTAATATTGGAGACAGTAGTATAGTTCTGTCTCACATTTTCTTTTATTTTATTTTTTTTATTCTTACATTTTGTTTTTTGGTGTTTTATTATAGAGCCAACTATGTAAGTAGTTAATATTTTCAATTTTATAAATTTTAAATATTTTTTTTTTTTCTATTTGCGTTCATTATTTTATAATTTATGTTGCAAATTAATAATTGTTTAATATAAAATTATATCTGAAATTATTTAAATTTTTGAATTTTTTAATAATCTAGTAAGATTTATTATATTAAATTAAAATTTGCATTAAAGAAAATAAATAATATGGAATAAATTTGTAGTGAACAAAATTAATTAATTACAAAAGTACAACATAGCTGTACGAATTTTGATTCGAATTTTCATTCGAAAACTTCCGCGTAATGTGATTCATAATGTTTGAACTTATTAGATTTCATTCGCTTAATATAGTCGCTTGTTACTACTCGTATCTAAGAATTGTAGATAACGAAATTATTAGACTTGTGAATCATTTTCGCTTATAAATTCAGATGATGTTATCGTAATACACACTTTGCA